CAAAGAAGAAGGGGAGATAAGGACGATAGATGTTTGATAGGAAAAAAGAAGCAAACCACACCAGAGCACCCACCAACCACCCACAATTATTTGTGTTGGATTGTTGACAAGTAAGTGTTTCTCAAAGCCAAGTGTGTGTGTGTGTGGCAGGTGCCGGCAGGTGCCACACATTGGGACAATGGAGAAGAAGTAGAAGGGGCAGACCAAACCAAAGCAAGCGCTGACCAAGCGCTTTCTGACCGGTATTCAACTCCTGCATGGAAAGAATTTTTATCGAGTCTCTTGACTTGGTCTTTCTGCAGAAACGTTTATTCCTCTCAGCCCAGGTTGGCCTTGACAGTAGGTTCACAGCCAGCCTCCTAAGTTTCAGTAAGTGTTTTACGGCACTTGCAACACAATAAGCACAATAAGGTAATATCAGTGCCGAAGATTAGAGGTGTTACAAGAGAGTAGCAAACATAAAAAGGAAGGAAGGGAAATAAAGAGGATAGACGTTTGGTAGGAAAGAAGAAGCAAACCACACCAGACAGAGCACCCACCAACCACCCACCAGCCTCCTAAATGATCTAAACTGTGTTGATGGTGGCGACAAAAACACCTTCATAAAACAGGTACCGTATTATGTCCAACTAGAAACCATAAATGTGGAGTTTGTCATTCCGTGATCGGCAAAAACAAGTCAGAAGGTCGGAAACAAGAGAGACAGCCAAGAAAACAAGTCCTGCTACAGAATCCCTCCAACAAACCTCTCCCCTTCCTTTAAACACACCTCCCCCCCCTCCCCTCTTTATACACACACATCATCCACACTTCCCCCTCAGCCCAGACACACCCACACACTCACACACACACACACACACACACACACACACACACACACACACACACACACACACACACACACACACAAAAGTACCGGTAAGTCAAGAAATTAGGAAAGTCGAGCGTACATTAAACGCATTGGCAGGTGCAGAGCAGACGAGAAAAAGTTAGAAGGGGTGGGTTTCTGTGACAACAATCGTTGTTGATGATAATGATTGTGATGACGAAGCTTTTAGTTCGTTATCAAAGAGATTACTGATCTGATTTTTAATAAAGCCTCTGTAGATGTAGGCCTAATAATTTAACAAATGCATCTATTATTTTCAATGTTGACGGTGATGTGTCCGAGTTTATTGTATCACAGTAATTATTTATTTTATTCGTCACTTTATTATGCATCATGTTTTATTTACTTTGCAGCTTATTTCAAAGTCAATTACGACTGCACTTCATCATCTTATCTCCCCCCCCCCCCCCCCCCCCCCCCCCCCCCGCCCCCAGACTATGTAGGTCTAAACAATAGACTGATCATGCGTCAACACACTCTGAAGTCAAAAACCAATCATAGCTCCGCTATGAGCAGCCCTGATCACATGTATGCCACTACAGCACTTTCACCCCAGAGGCTTCTAAAGAGACTCCCATCTATTCAAAGCACCAAAGCATCAATGAACGCTAATTCAGAAGGCCTAATTCACTAACACTGAGTTGAAGCCATAGGCCTAAAGGAACAACTCTGAATCGATTCTCAGTCCCTCAGTTGCAAGCAAGCTTGTTATACCTATATGTTTAGTAACAACTCTGAATCACACTTAATATACAGTGGAAACCATATATAACAGTTTTAGCTGAAGGTCTACCGTGCTACGGCAGTCTACCATTAGTCCCTCCCAGTACAACATGGCCTTCGTAATGACAGGGCGGGGGGCATTTTGACCAAAGGCTGTGGCGTTGCAATGTGAGAATGGGTGAATTGCTTCATTTTGTGATGTCATTTAGTTCATAGAATTATGCAGTGGTAAAGTTATGATCAACAAGTAAATCACAACAGCAAGGGGCCAGAAATCAGGGGGGGACCAGCCCTCCTCCGTAGCAAACTGCAACCACCAAAACATTTTTATTTGGAAAATAACAGTCCCAAACATGTATAAATCATAGCTGCCACTTTTCCGCTAGATAACGGAAACTCCGCTTCATCTAGCTTTTCCCGCTACTTTCCTCCTTACTCCGCTGGACCGCTCTCGGCCGAAAATTGCGATAATTTTTTAATGTGCGAAAACACTGAACCGGGAGTTAGACACCTTGCGTATGTTCGACCGTATCTTCTTACTTCCGTTCTGTCCCTGCCTAGCGTTAGTTTCACATTGTTTATTGTGAAGCAACAGTGTCGGTCGAGCATCGGGACAATGGCGCTCCGAGTTGTCATTGAAACCGGTGGAAATTCGAGAGAAATTGATGCAGAATACACAAATAAATGGAGCTGTGTTGACTAAGGAGCAGACGGTGTGCGACTTCAAAAGTTCATAAGAAGATTGAACAAATCGGGTGCTGCACTTTGCGTTTGGTGCGATAAAGAAATCTCGTAAATCTAGATCCAGGCAAAGGTTTCTCCTAAGACTAATCCAATACATGTAGACCTACTACTCTACATCGTTGCACAAGTCTAAAGTGAAAGAAATATTTGTATGAGACACTAGCTGGCAACATACACTGGATTTTTAGTCTCCAAACCTAGTCAAATTCTTGTTAGTCAACTTAGATCTAGGTCTAGTGTCTTGGGGGATGGGGGATTAAATTTCAAATACATTTTAATTCAGTAGCCTATGGTTAACAAATATGACAGCTTTCCCTTCCAAAAACATAGATGTTCCAATAGATTCTATATTGCCATTGAATCTCACTTGCACTGGTTTTACTCCGGCCTTTGGAGAGTGCGCGTCCGCCTTTGCGTGATTTTCCTCCTTTTTTAAAATTCTTGAGTGGCAGCTATGATAAATGCAAAGGGAAAATGTAGTCCCATACTGATCCATGTCACAAGTTCCCAAGGATATATTGACTGGTAGGCTTTCATCAACTAAACTAGCCTATAGTTGTCAGACTGGTCTAGTGATAGACCGCCAACTAAACCAGAAACATTGCTGTAGACCAACTCTTAACCGGCACCTTTTTATATATATATATATTTATTTGGTTTTGTTTTTTGTTGTTTGTGGGGGGGGGGGGGGGGGGGAGGTGCTCCCTTATAATTTATTTATTTTTAATAAATCTGCTCTTGTATCTTTAAGTTGAAATTGTGTTGCAGGAGTACTTTTGAGTTGTCATAATCCTTTGGTATTTTCATGGTCTTTCATTCTTTCATGACAGTTGCATCACTGCTAGAAAAAAGTTTAGGTTTTTTAAATCACATTTTTGCCAGTTGTTTTCCTTTTTATGAATAAATTACTATTTTTTAAAATGCGTGTAGGTCTCACTGTATTTTGCTTTTTTTTTCCTGGTCATATTTGATGACATAAGCAATGTCCACAGCAAGGGCTTTTAAAAGATTATTGTATAAGAATTGATAAGATACTCAATTGTAGACTGTTGTAGGTTCAGAGTTTTTGTGTGGTTTTTTTAACCTCTTGGCTGCTGCGCCCGTAGAATTTACGAGCCTGAACCCTGTAACGCTGTGCCTATGACCCGTAGAATTTACGGGACTGTGACAGAGGTTGTTTTGATACCAATTATAAGGGAAGTTACAGCTAAAATCCTGTACCAGTAATTATTATTGAGGTATCTTCCCTTTATGTTTATCGCCGTTCTCCTCCCCCAACCCCCACCCCATTTGAAAGCGTCAGATTCAGATTTTAGCTCAAAGAGAAGATTAGATCGAGATCTAACACATCCACCGCATAAAAATGATTTACTGGCAGTAAACACAGTTGGGCTTACATATATATGTATGGATTGTACGCACTTTGTATAAGGTAGGAAAAGCCTCTTGTCACTTCCTGTTTACCAGCAGACACTCAAACATGTATTCCCCTTTTTTTTTGTCTCAGTTTATTATTACTCGAATGTGTGTTGTTTGGTGTTGTTTTTGACATCATGTTACTAACTCTACCTTTTCTCCATCTATCTCTCAATGAACCCCACCCCCCTCCCTAATTATATCAATAGAAGTGTGGTTCAATCTTGAATGTACATGCAGAAATTCACGAGAAAATATTCATGAATTAAAAAGTTATGGGAGGAAGAGTGGGGTCACCCCTGAACAGCCTTGGCTCATGGGATTTCCCCCGGCACAGGCGTTAAAGGGGGTTCAAATGAATTTCTGTAATTTTAAACATAAGTGCATCAGATTTTTAAAAGCTGTCTGTTATTTATATCATAAAAGTGATTTGTTGGCTCTATGCATTTCATCAGCTTTTTAAATTCATAAATTGAAAACAAACGAGGCAAGGGGTAGACTCACAGCAGCCTACCTGGAGAGCCTTAACAAATTGATAGGTGACTGGGAAAATTCAAGATAATGTAGTTTTTTTTTAGAGCATCCAAGCAAAGGACTGATTTAAGAACCATGGTTGCGGATGTCTATTGTAGATGTGACATTTGATGATTATGATAATTCATAGTATTGAATTTTATCCTCAGAATTGTGTGGTACACAGAGATGTCTGCTCTCACGACAATTTCCTTGACGTGCATGCTGGTTGGAATTGTGGACTTCATTGTTCCTTTCTTTGGGAAGAGTATCACGGGGTACCATACATGGTATGTCTTTACAGTGTAGTGACTTTATTTTCCTACTTCTAGTGATTTTTTAAAAAATGGCTTCCCTCTTTTTTTTTTCTTCGGCTTCACTGATTGTTATAGTTATAGGAAAAAATATGGCACACTTTGTGGAGCAGTCATAGCTTACATACCAAAATTATGCAAGTAAAATTCATGTTTGATTCATTTTCTCATGTTCAAGGATACGCTGAAGCTCATTGGGTGGCATAACCATGAAGATTCATTTAGTAGTGGGCAATCGAAAGAAATAAAATGCATAGGTGCTTAGAAATTGTGTTGTGATGTGATGATCTGGTACAGAAAGGCTTTGTCTCATTTCCCCTGGAGCTTATTAGTGTCCCTTCACTGTCTATACAAGAAGTATGCTGCACTTAATTATTTTGTCTCTTTACATCTGTGACAACATCTTTTTTCTTTACAAATGAGTATAAGTTTTAAAAAAATGATAACCATCTGATCTTTTGAAAAGATCTTGATCTTTACTCTGTTTTTGTTCCTTAAAAAAGCAGGTTGCTGGTATCTTAATTTGCTCTTGAGACCAAGTATCAAGAAAAAAAGTGAAGAGTTTGAGTCCAAAATGGAGATAAGAAAGCTGCTGTTTGGGGGGGCGTTCATTATTTTAACTAAAGTTTCATGCTGCCTCATAACTATAAATCTTCAGTAAAATCTCATTTTCTCTATTGATTTGCTTTGTCAGTCTTTTTGCCTTTGACTGATGCTAGAACAGTCGTTTTATGTGAAATGCATTAGTATATGAAAAGGGTTTCCCATTTTATTGTTTTGTTTGTTCTTATTTAGGACTGCAAATGAAGAAATGCAGTTCACAGAAATCTGCGACAAGATTTCAGCGGTGCGCCAGGATGTTGTGGACATGTTCCAAGGTCTCTCAGAGATGAGACAACAGAATGCGAAACTCGTAAGTATACAATTCTTGAAGCTCTAAGCTCCACTGACTGGTTACCAGACTGGATCGGTTTTTAAAAAAAGTGCTGATTTGCACCTCTTTAAATTTGCATAAAACCTGGTCTGCATAAACACCCATCTGTTTTTCTTCCCGGTTGATGGGTTTTCTGACCAGGACCACTGTAACCTTTTCCAGTGCTGTTAATGGCCAGGGTATGAATTTAGACGCTCCTCATTGAAGTACATTTAGTCTTTGTTAGTGCTTTCTGTCATTGTCTTTCCCTTTTTCATGAACATGTGGAGGGTTCTGTTGCCACTTATCTGAACTCTTTCTTCATCTACTTGGTCTAGATACTTTCAGTGTGGTCAGGAGTAAATACGCAGACAAATTCGGTATTATTTTACTTTTGCTACTGTCTCGTGCCCAGTCATTATACTGCAGTTTTCTGGTTCACTCTTATCCGTTTTACGCGAATGTCAACTTTATATCCATCCGTAGCAAATTGTTAGTTTTTAAAAACTTTTGTTGGTTTCTATCAGAACTATATTAAGCTAAGCATGATTGCACAGTAATATTTTGTTCTTTTAAAAATCTTGTGGGTTTCACGGACACCTGGAAGTTAACAAAAAAATTCTGTTTTGCAATTAGATTTGAAATTTTCTTGAAAATAATTTATTTGCGACAATTTTAGTGGCCACATGTGTGTTCTGCAGCCAAAAATACTGCAGTTTGACCCTCAAAAGCAGTGCATTTGCATGAGGGAGTAAGTGTAAAAATTTACCACAAATTCTTTCTCACTGCTGAGTTTATGTTTCAATGTTTTACTTTGATATTACTTTAGATTACGCTGAAGCGGCTGATAAATGCTGCTGGTCCATTCTCTTTTCAGCATGTCTTATTGTATGCCTGTATGTTAATATATTGTATATTTGGTGGTTGGGTTGCTGAGAAAGTAGAATTTTGCACACATGGACTACGATGGACAATAAGAGGGCTTGCATTTGATCGGAGATCAAGATGCTGATGGGGAGAAAAATTCTTTAAAGTTTTCGGTTGTTTGAGTCCATAGTTGACGTCAGTATTTGAGTAGTATAACATGTGAACAAGCTCTAGATCATAGTTTTTACATGATGGTCTGTGAGTTTCGACTTTGAGCTGATAGAAAACTGTGAAATTGAGTTTTCACTCAAATATCAGTTGGCTCTTTCCGGTTCCAGTCTCATGCGTGATGTGAGTGAACTGTAAGTGAACTGCAGAGGACTGGTGTTTGTGTAGTGTAATGGTTGGGCTCTTCACAGATGTACACAGGAGACCTGAGTTTGTTTATTTTTAAGTCTAGTACCACCGGTTGTCTGCTGGGATGTTTTATTCTACTTTTCTAAGTTGGCCCTGACAAGCAGCATGTCTCCTGAATTATCTAAATTGCATCAATCAAGGACCTTAAAGTTGTGCAATATAAAAATACAAAAAGAATGAATATGAAGACATCTTGAGAAGATGAAAGCATCATGTCATATGGTCTTTTTGTGTGTTGGTTGTGGGAAGCAACTAATACAGTAGTCTCCGCCTAAACGCACGCCATACAAAAGCACGCTCCGCTCAAACGCACGCTTTCGTCATGTGACGGGTTTTTTACTATATAATTTAGACGTACAAACACACGGTCACTCCTTCTAAACGCACGCTCCGATCTGCGAAACACGCCGACAAGTTAAGCTTAGCAAGGGGAAATTTTCACTACAGCCTGCACAGCCTGCATAAGACAAGCCTAGAATTTACGAGAAAACCCGATATTTGGTGAGAGTGCCCCTCACGCTGTACAAAGAGAGTGATGGACTGCGTTTACACACCCTACTTTCCACCTACGCATAGGTCTCGATCTAGGGCTGGTCGGTTAAATGTTGGGGGGGATTGGGGGGACTGAAATGTTTTTTGATTGGTCATTGGAAATGTATCTTTGAGAGAAGGTTTCTGACTGGTGTTTGAGTGACTGCGTGTAATGTTTAGTTAAATCTAGGCCTGATGCGCGAAACGCGCGAATGCCGTAAAACACTTGACAGGCCTCTATAGGATTAAAAATTAGCCAAGTAAGCCTAATCAGCTGCACTCAAAGAACTAATAACGTACTTGTTCAACGAATCACAAGAGAAAATGTTTTTCGGGGATGATTCTGCATGAATTTACGGTCGGGGGCGGTCGCTTGGAATGCCACGTGGCTGGTCCGTCGTCTCTAACCAACAGTTTCCTCTTAGGCTATCTGTTCCCGACGTATACAGTGCATATTCATTACATTGAGTTTGTCTTTCTCCCCCCCCCCCTTCAACGCCTTTGCATTCTTAACCCCTGTCGGAGAATCTTTCACAAAACAGTCACGTGTCGTCACATTATCTGCCAAAATGACCCCCTCCCTCTAAGGGAGGTCACAAGAGTAATAAGGAATTGAGATGACTGCGTCCCTTCCTCCCCTTGCAAAGGTTCATGTAAATGCACGCTCCGTATAAACACACGCTAAGGAGCCCTCCCGAGCACCGTGCGTTTAGGCGGAGACTACTGTACCAACTTATTATTCTACTGCTTCAAAGCATCCAATATTTTTCAATTGTCGAATCTATCCCCGATGAAATCTGATCACCATTGTTTACTGTCTCACTGTACCGTTAAGTATTTAACAGTTGCACTGTGTGGATGTTTGGCAAGTGCTCTGGTCTGGTTTGCTCCTTCTTTCCTATCAAACATCTATCGTCCTTATCTCTCCCCCTGTTTGTGTGTGTTTGTTACTCTCTTGTGTAATCTTTGCCACTTATATATATATAT